AAACTTAAAGCTCACCCTTGATAAAGATTCACAATAAATTTTATTTAAATAAATGATTAAATATGTCAGAACCTATTATAAAAATAGAAATCTTAAGTTTTATAAAATTCAGGAAATGATACATATTCAAGACTTTAAATAATTTTACATAAAAATACAAAAGGTAATCAAAAGTATGACATTTATCTACTTAGATTTTTGGATCTGAATGCATGGTACATAAAATCATCTAGTAGTCATCCCATTACTAACTTAAGGATTATTTGATTTTATCCTAAATTTATATATTAATAGCCATTATTAATTAAATGTCACATCTTTCACAAACTAGTTTGTCTTTATTATGAATTGTTATGAGCACCTCAATAGAGCATAGAATATGCTATAAAAACGTTACTTACTCTCTTATTTTAAAGGGGCAAATTACAAAATGTCAAAATACTCTATTTTTTAAAAAGGGTATCCCATCCAGCTTCTTTTCAGTAATTTTCAAATAATAGGCAATAAGCCATAAGTTTTACTTCTTACTACACTGATACAAAATGTACATCAGAGTTACTGAATCACTAAATTAAACATATATAAATATATGGAAGCATAGGTAAAATAAACAAGGCAAGACTATAAATACATACATGCACACACAAATATATAATTGCCCAGCTTTTTCCAATTCCTATTTCTGATGCTATAGCTAAATGCAAGAATGGAAGATTTGGGTGTTTTTGCTTGCTTCTAAATTTGGTTCACTTTCCAATTATATCTGTTTAGGATGCATAAAGATGTATATAGGCAGTGTGTATTACAGGCCCCAATCTGATAACTTGATAAACTTAATTGTGACACTTTTCTCCAACTCTACATTTTCAATATAAACACTAACATTCCAAGCAACCTTATGAAACTGCCAAATCTTAAAAGGCATTCTGCATCACCAAGGGAAGATTCAACTTGGTTCCATACAATTACACAAGTTAATTTCACTGTGTCCTAATCTGAAAATTGGTCTTCTGAATATTTATCTGAAGTAAATTTAACAAATATTTGAAGAACACTGCATTATACACTCAAAATAAAGATGTTAAGTGCAAACAGAGTAAGTCAATTACCTTGAAAACTCAATTATTCAAGACATCAGAGTAGAATTTAAGAATGACAAATACTACGCAGGTTAGCTTATAAGGTGCAATCTAATAAATGCTAACATTTGAATGTTCGTTATATTCCATGCACCCTGTTTTATTTTATTCTTTGATTTAATCCTCTCAACTCTATAGGCAAGGTGATAACATCTTTTTTTTTTTTTAAAGATGAAAAACCTTAAGTTTACTGAGGTTAAACAGCTTGCCAAGGATTCAAAAAGGCTAGTAAGTGGCAGCCTTTTTTCAGAATCAAACTGCCTATTTAGTATCTAAACCATAAAGAGCAGAGAGAGAGAAAGCAAACTTGTACCACCTACCACAATGCCTAATCTCAATAAGATCTGACTCAACTGATTTTTTACTTTTTTTAAAGATTTATTTATTTATTTGAGAGGCGGGGGCAGAAGGAGAGGGAGAGAAGCAGAATCCGCTAGATCCCAGGACTCTGAGATCATGACCTGAGCTGAAATCAAGAGTCAGATGCTCAACCAACTGAGCCATCCAGGTGCCCCTCAACTGATAGTTTAAAAAGTAATTTTTTTTTTTTCCCCAGTTCACATTCATATATCTTTACCTAATGAGTTAGGTATCGCTCTTCTGGGCAACCCCACAGTACCTCATACAGATCTCTATCATAAACACTGGACTGTCCTATGAACAACTATTTCTTTCATGTCTATCATCACAATGCTGTAAGCTCCTTGAAGCCAGGACTCTGCCTTACTCATGTTTTATGTCCCCACGTGCCTAACAAGTGCCGGAACACAGAAAATACTATGAGTGCTGTTAAAGGTTCAATATAATATTAGATCTTTTTTATCACCTTCTAATATCCATCTTCAGATAAAACCTTGATGAAAATGGAAAGTCATAGAATCCTAGTTTCAAAGAGGAATTGACAAAGGTCAAGAAGCCTTTACCTTCTTCCTTCATTGATACCATATCCCAGGTAGAATTCTCTATCTTTCAAGAAAATGGTGGAAGGAAAGTGCGATAAATCTAATCACCTATGAATTAATTATTGCCATCATAAAAAAATATGGCTGAAACTAATATAACATCGTGTGTTAACTCTACTTCAGTTAAAAAAAAATATGGAATTCCCGAATAATGAGCTTTGAATAAATGAGATTTAGGAAGTCACATGGTTTTGTAAATCTAGTCCCCTTGACCTTTATACCTAGGAATTTATTTCTTAGGCTTAAAAAACAAAAAGCAAAAAACTTGACAGTTTGTAAACATTTTAAAAGTTCAGTTCTTCATATAAGACAGTGTACACCCGCAAAACAACATAAATGATGTCATTTTTTTACAGCTTTCAGAGTATCAAGTCTACCAGTTGCAAGGGTTTTCTTTTTTTTTTTTAAGCAAATGAACATGGTATAAAAATTACCTTGCACTAATAGATGATATTGCAGATGTTAAGCATAGCTAAGGTCGTGCTAAATTTACACAAGCAGCATATCAAAAATAGCAGCAAAAAGAAAAAAATATCCGTAAATGTTGAACAAGTAATGGATTCTGATTAACAAATCAGATAATCATCTCTTTAAAGCCTAAAAATCTTTTCAACTCTAAAACTGACTACTCAAACAATAATACACATAAAACCTTGTCAGTAGTACTATGAATGTCAGATCAACAAACAGGTTACATGAAGAAAATTCTACTTCCATACTTATTAAGCATCCATAAGTCGGGAAAACTGTGCCCTACTCAAAGACTTTCTAAAATAGAGAGAGAGGTTGATGGGGAAAAAAAAGTCTTAAGGGTTCACAAATTAGGGTGTTATTAACACTATAAGCCAGAAAAGGAAGCTTTTTAAAAGAACAGGGCACACAGTAACACAAAGCTAGTGCCCGTCTCTACAACTACAAGCAGAATTGACTCTAAAAACTTCAATTTACACCTGCTCTAAATCACAATCCATTTGCCTATTTTACTTGAATTTTTAGGACCTAAAATAAAAATATCAAGCCCCTCCGATAGGACATTACTAAAGAGGTTAAAAAAAAAAAAAGCTCCTTTCTTCTTCCACATGAAAACCAATGCATTCCTTCAAAAGTAATCAACATTTCACTTGTACAAGCACTATGAAATTATTACTCAAAATCTATATCCTTGATTATCTGCACATACCACCTAGTTCTAGTCTTCTATAAGGCTTCGCCCAGCTAGATAAGCCTTTATTAGAGATACAAGTACTATTCACTGGGTCCTTAACACAATCGAAATCAGGCCAGTAAACTGTTAACAAACACCCCCTCCAACTTTTCTCCCACCGAATTGTAATCCACAATCCTCCCTAATGGAAAAGAACAGTACACAAATTCAACTTAGAATTTTAAATCAATTTAAAGAGGTCACAGCATTAAGAACTGTGTTGTGGAACCAAACAGCTGGGGAGTGGAGCTACAGAAACAATGTAGATTAGATAACAAGCAGTTTATCAGACTATACTCAGTAAATCAGAAACTTTCATTACAATGCTTGAAACGTGGTGGTGAACTGGTAGAGGAAATTCTCAGCCTATAAGGGGCACTCAATCTCTTGAAAACTCTGCCTCCCTCATAACCAACTACCCTGACACAACCTCCCGGAACAGGACGTTCTTTCTTCTAAATCACACAATCCCAGAAATCTGCACACATCTCTCCTTTTAATAAACACTGATAAAACTTCTGGTTTCATTTACGATTTCATTAAACATAGATCCAACAGCAGCCTTAATGTACCAATAAAAATGTCTTGAGTAAACCAATCTTTAGCAAGCGTTAAGTTTTTGCTTCTCCACCTTCCTCACCAAGTAAGTGTCTTAGAAATGAATAACTTCCTGCAGTATTTCAGTATTACCAAAAGACACACAGAGCTAATCCCCAAAGACTGGTGACCTTACTTTCCCAAATCACCTCCTTCCATTAATGATCACTTACGTCCATCTCTCTTGCGTGAGAGATCAATTTTTTTTTTTTACACGATCCTTAACAAGTGGACTTCTAGTCTCCGATACCTAGGAACAGAATTTACAAAGAGACTAACTCCCAAATGTGACAGGAAAACTGTAACATAAAACGAGGGAAGAAAGAGACGGGAAGAGGTGTGGGGTTTGTTTTGATCAGAACAGCCGGAGCACAGTAGATGCAATCAGGTATTTAACACATAAATCGAAGTCCCGAAGACAAACAGGGTTCGCTAAGATAAACATGGACAGTGTGAGAGACGTCCCACAAACTGGAAGGCAACGACGGGCTCAATGCAACGCGACCCAGAGGCTGCGAGGGCAGAACCGGGCCGGACGACCGTAGAAAACTGACTGTAGGGGATGCTGTAGGGTGGGCTAACATGGTGCCTTCTCCAGGGTGGAAAGCGATGAGGGGTTGGGAGCCAAAGGTTTCATCCCGTCGGGCTCTGGTCCCAAAAGGTATCCGGGCTCAGAGCTCAAGTTTCACGGCGGGGGGGAGGGAAAGGAGGCAGCAACCGTGCAGCCAGGCACCTTCGCCCCAGCCCAGGAGTCCGCGCTCTCGGCTTCCTCCGCGAAAGAGAGAGGAGGTAACGGTCCCCGCAGCAAACACTGAGGAGCTCCCAGAGCACCCAGCCCTTGGCGTCGGGCAACGGCGCGGTGAGCGGGGGAGGGGAGCGGGCGGCCGGCGCTGCACCCGCCGGCCCCGGCCCTTCCCCGGCCTCGCCCCGGGCGCGGCGAAAAGTTTCCAGCCAAAGTCCGCGGCACCCGCTCGCGCAGCCAACCGCCGAGCACAACTGCCTCGCCGCCACGGAGAGCGGCCCGCGCCGGCCGGCCACGGCGCCGGGACCCTAAGTCGCGCCTCCCTCAGCCCGCGCCGGCCGCCGAGGTTCACCTACCACAGAGCCGGGAGAAGAGCAGCAGCGGGAAGAGCAGCAGCAGTAGCGGTGGCGGCGTCGGGGGCGGCAGCAGGAGTCCGGCCCCGGGGGGAGAAGCGGAGGAAAGTTGTGCTTTGCCGCCTCCGGGACACAGCGGGGCCGGCCCCGGGGTCCGCGCCATCCCCCACCCTCCCCCCGGCCCGCTGGCTCGCCCGCCCCCCCGGCTCCCCCGGCCCCCGCGCCTTGGGCTCTGGGCGGCGGCAGCAGCGGCGGCGACGGCGGAGGGTCCGGCGCGCGGGTCCCCAACTCCCAGTTCTTGAGCCGTCGCCGCGGGCTGACACTGAGCGGAGCGCTCACGGCTGCCTCGACTCCGCCGTCGCCGACGCCACTGCCGAGGCTGAGGCGGGAGCCGCCCGCCGCCGCCGCCGCCGCCACTCCCCTCCCCCAGGCACCCGCCCGCCTCGAACTCCTGGGAACTCGGAACGCACCACCCCGCCCCGCACGGGAGGGGGAGAGGAAGCCGACCCTCAGAGCCGGCGCTGGGACTCGCCCGCCCTCCCCGCACAACTCCAGCTCCCGTCTGATCGCGGACTGCAAGCCGCGTCTCCTCCCATCCCGCCCTCCTACACACGCTCCTCCCTCTTCAAAAAAAAAAAAAAATCTCTTCTCTCTACTTTGATAACGGGTTTCTCCCAAAGCAGGGCTTTCAAGAGGACAGGAAAATCTGGAATAGGTTAGTAGGCCCCGCCCCTCGTTCCTGCCTCGTCCCCGCCTCGTTCCCCCCTTCCCAACGTTTCCAATGGTCTCTCCCACTCCGCCCCTCGCGGGTCCACCGCTGCCCCGGCGCAGACGGAGGCGGAGGGCGGCGGGACAATCGTGCTGGCTTCTCGCCTCGCCCGGGCCGCGCTCTCCCTCTGGCGGGGAGCCGGGACAGGAGGCGGGAGGAGTTAGGAGGGGAAGGCAGGATGGGGCTGCCCTTCCGTTGCCCACGCTAAAGGTCCCTGTCTAGGAGGCTGTACATAGCCTGCAGAACTAGTCATCTCCCTCCTCGCCGGGGACGCCGGGGGCTGAAAGGAGAGATTTTCTCCTTCCTGCTTCCCGGGACAGCGGCGCTCTCCGAATCCCTCCCTTCTTTCCAGCTCCACTTCCCCCAGCCCTCCGAGGCTTGTTTGCACAGGCGTTTTTCTTGCTCCTTTCTCTTGGGAGGGCGGCTTGGTGGAAGGGTCAGCGGAGGCAGGCGAGAAGAGGGGCCCCAGAAGGTTTGCTTTTTCGCTCTTGCTTCTCCGGCCGCCGAGCTGTCCGCTGTCCTCGCCGGGCAACTGGTAACAGGAGGCCATGGATTTTCCCCATCGGAGCGCCTCGAGTGCGGTGGTGTTTTTCTTTGGTTTTGTTTCATTTGCATGTTCGCACGTGTAATTTTATTTTCATTGCCTGTTTTCCTCTGAACTGATCGCGGTAAAGCGACCTCGGGAAGTGTTAAGCATTTGCCCGTAAGATGTCTGGGATCCACCACAACCCTCCCTCACCCCAGGTGGCTACGCGCCCTGCCCTCTTCATCCGCCCGCCACGCACAGCCCTGGTGGTCTGACCTTGAAGCCACAGCCACTAGCGGTTCTGCAGGGGCGGAGGACAGTTTGGACTGTCCCGAGAGGGACTGGAGGCAGAGGACACACGTCCTCAATCCGGACACCATTAATTTTATGGAGGTCATGGCATCTCCACCAGATAGCCAGAAATGTGCTCCCAATAAGAAGGAAAGTCGAACAAGGATTTAGCCGCCTGTCGCAGCTAAACCAATGCTTGCCTGCCGCCAAGATCACACCCCTTCCATCACTAGCCGCCCCCCCTCTGGTTTACAGTGTTTTACTCACCTCCAAAGCTACACACCATTCTACCCCTGCCTACCGCTCTTTTTTCTTTCTCAACTTCCGCCTCCCATCCTGTCTCCCAGCGCTCGGCTTAGTACCTCTCTTCCTCCATCCTCTCTTTTTTTCTTTTTCTCTCTTTCTATCTATGTCTCTCATCCAGCCTGTCTCCTGCGGCCACTCTTTTCCATCGCCTATCCTCAGGATGCACTTATGAATAAACCTTGTCCTGCGTCTCTCCCGGAGATCCCCTGATGATGATCATAATTGACGAAATGTAGCTATTGTGACATTCCTCAGCTGTGCTGACACCACCGTTTCCCTTGAGAAAATTTCTTTTCCTATTTTCTCATTCTCTAAACCTAATTTCACTGCTAAATTTAGATAAAGCCCACTGTGCAGCGACTAGCTAATTATCTGTTTAGATAGCACTTCAACACGTTGTTGAGAGCCAGTTAAATATTAAACAACCAAAATTTTAATATCACTAGCCAATTTCATTCCCCTGGCCTTCCCCTGATGGTTCCAGTTTCCAGAAAAAGTAATTTGGCCAACATTTGAAAAGGTGCCAAAGGCTTAATATGGGGGGCCATTGTGCAATTGCTACAGAGACCAGGAGGGATTAGCAGGTTTAGTGCTTCTCAAAAGGATGATATGGAGCTTTAAAAAATGTATTTCCTCCATATTTTGAGAAATTGGATTAGTGACATGCTATGATTATATTCTTCTCTGACCTAAAGTGAAGAGAGCATGGAAGAGCAGTATTTATAGATTTATATAAGCATTAAAAGAGCACTATGCTGGTGTTTTATGTGCATACATGCATTATGTCCTAATATTAATCATTTGTGTTGATATAGCATCTTTGGCCAGAGATGTCAAAGCACAGGCTTACTTCCCATGGAAGGTAGCAATTACTATTATCCCTACCTGACAAGGAGAGGAACCTAGGCAGAGAGGTTAATTGAAAATACTACAAGCCACATGTGGGTGGTTTTCCTGCCTGATCCAAGTTCTTGCCTTCCGCTGGGCACCACTGACCTCCCAAGATTCCTTTTAACGTTAAAAACAAATTTACTGAGGTAACTCAAATTTCTACTTTCTAAGTGTCCAGTCTTAAATTACACTGTTCTCAAATGAAGACATACTCACCCCGAGCCTTGCTGTTGGAAATTATTTCTAGCTACAGAAAGAGATTTTATATGATACAGTTCATTTTCTTTCAAGGGCCAGAATTACTGTTGACTTAAAAAAAAAACCTTTATCATGAGAGTATTACTGTGTTTTATACCATTTTAGTTGTCTAACTTTATAGATAAGTTCACTTATATTGTTTGAGTGACAAACTGGTTCAGGAATAATTATAGCTAACTTATTAATATTTCTGGCACCATTAAATCCAAAATATGCATGTATTTTCCAAGAAGAAAATTATCTGAACAAAAGGCAACAGATCCTACTGCCAACAATGATTTCATTGTTTTGGGTTAAGAGTACTGATGGTGTCCATCCCACTTTCTGCCTCAAAGACTGTTGGCTAATTATCGAGGTTCATTAACTCTTAACTAAAAAACAAAGGTTGACATCTTAACAAAGAAGTAATTATGTACAGTACTGGGCATTTTACATTTACTCAAATAATCCAAATTAAAGGTTTGAGACTATTATAATAATTTCATAGCTGACTCTGAAACAAAGAAAGTACTTTATAGTGAAGGTGGGCCATTATGTACTCAGCTCATTCCTCTTACCATCAGCAAATTTTTTATAACCTGCTGCGTGAAGAAGTATAGTATTTCCCTCAGTGGAAGAGATGAGCAATGCTTTGTGGAATGTTTGAACTTGGTACTATATTTGATAATAAGTTGATGTCACTCTACTAGAATCACAGTCTTCTAAAGCAGAACTATGCAAATAGTTAAAATCAAACCGCAAACCCACAAAAAAGTCCACCCACTTGCAAAATCTTCACCAGTCTCACATTTATCAAATGCAACCATTTTCTACTGAAAAGATTCCCCCTATATATTCATACTGATTTCCCCCTCATATTTCCTTTGGATCTTTGCTCAAGTTTCACTCTATTATTGAGGTCTTGTATCACTACCCCATATAAAGAGCTCCTCTACCCCCAATTCCTATCCCCCTTAACTTGGCTTTATTAATTGTACTCACCATCTGACACGTTATGTTTTTATTTATTGTCTGTTTCCCCTTCAGTAGAATGAAAGTTCCACGAGGGTGGGCGGGGACCTATCTATTTTTTCACTGTTGAAACCCAACCGCCCAGAACAGCATCTGCCATGTAAGTCCCAGACCGGATGACTAAATGATAACTATAGTGACATAGCATACTCAGGTGTGTGTCTAATCACAGACAAAGTCAACAGAAGAATATTAATTTATTAATTTTTTAAGGCCTTGAGCATATGATCATATTGAGTTTTTTAAGCTGGAAGATGATTAGCTGACCATTGCTTAAGACTTTCTATTTAGGGGGACCTGGGTGGCTCGGTTGGTTAAATGTCTGCCTTGGGCTCAGGTCATGATCCCGGGGTCCTGGGATTGAGAGCCCTGTGTTGGGATCCCTGCTCAGCAAGGAGTCTGCTTCTCCCTCTTCCCCTCCCCCACCCCCTGCTTGTTCTTTTTCTCTCTCTCAAATAATTTAAAAAAAAACCACTCTATTTAATTACTCCTAGTGTTTTTTATTAAGCTATCCTCTCTCTAATCCATATTGACATTTCCACACTCCACATTTGTAATACTGGGTTTGGGGCTCTGCAAACTCTCTTTCCTTTACCAGCTGGCTTCCTGGTGGGTTCTATCAATAGAAGTCCCTGGAGGGATGGTGGAAGGCAGGAGTAGGGGCAAAGAGACTTGATCTTTTTTGTTTGCTTCCTGCTCCTACCAGCATCCCATCCGCAGTAACAGCCCTTTCCATTGTCATCAGCAGTTGGCTCCAGCCTCCCACTTTTACATTCTAAGAACCAGACTCCTCCTATCTCCACAGAGGTACCAGCACTGGCCAGGCTGTGCCCACTTCTGAGAGGTTTGAGCCCTCGCTCAGCAGGGACCCTAACCTCTGAGCTTCTGAGCTCTAATAACCCAAACTTTTCTCTTTGTTTACCCCCACTCTAAAGGTGGTAATGGCTCCTTATAGTTTACATTGCTACGTTACCTCAGTGTTCCTCTTTTTGGTGTGGAGACTCCCTCCAAACCCCTGTGTAACAATACCCTATTATTAAATTCCCTCAGTACTATAGTATGCTTCCTGTGTTCCTGATTGGGCCTTAATTAGTGTTCTGTTTCTTCAGTG